AATTTAGATATATATTTTTTTGAAATAGCTTACGTTGTGATACTCCCTCTAATATAAAATCACCTTGGAAAAAAGTGTCATATTTACTGCTATGTAAAAGTATCTGTTACCAAACAATCTTAACTATAACTTTTATCGTAAACTGTACGGTAATTTTTTTAATTAGAAAAATTTTTTTCAGCTACATTTATTTGCTTAAAAACTAGGGTACTTTTTTTGCTGCGGATTCTCCAATTTTGAAATGGTTTAAAAATAGAAATTACACTTTCCAACTACTGAGAGTAAATAAATACAAAAACTATATTATCAAATAAAAAAGTATCGTTCTGGGGAATGACGTAATCCTCAATTGATTCGTAAATAACAAAAAAATATAACTTTTTTTGTAGTTATTGTAAAGAAGTACCCTTTTTTGTTTTAAATTAAAAACTAACCTTCTTGTTTCTATAGATGTCGTATTGTCCACGTACTTTCGGCATGAGGTACCTGGACCATTAATTAATTCGTTATTTATTTTTTTCTATTTTATGTAAATTAAGTAGATTAACAATCACAAATAAAAGTAAAGTCCTTGTATGAATGTCTTAACTATTTGTTTAATACTACATAGTAAAAACTATGTAAGAATATTCTTCAAAGTAAGCTCCTCCAATTGAATTGAAAAACCGACAGCTATCCTAAAAGGCAAATGCACTGAATGTATAAAAAAAAAAAAAATGTTCCCTAAATCAGTTTCGCATATTTTTTGGAATGATATAAGTAGATACTGCAATTGATATTTAATTCGTGGGTAGCGATGTATAGCGTTTGATCGTTGCTTCAGTTATAAAAATAAAAAAAGAATACTTGTGCTGTTTCGTCAAGACTTTAGTTACTGTAGATATAAATTTTGTGTTAATCGTAGTTTTTATCATATATCCGAAATCAAATGTTGTTAAGTCATGCATCGACTGCCCAATATGAAATTGATAAAATGATAAACATATACGGTATTGCATATCCAAAAAAATATCCATAAAAAATTACAATTTTCTGGTCCTAGAGGTCATTCACTTTTTTGTCAATGAGCACGCAGTCTCATTACATATTTTCTATAAAAAGGTGTGTACTTGAGTATATTTATGTTTAGTATTAATAGTAATATTTAAGGGTTTTCATTGCACAGTTTTCCAAAATCTTTTGGATGCGAGTATCAACTTAAGTCCATCATTGGGTGCAGTTACTCATCACTGATTTATTCAACTCTGATAATTTTAAATCTGCATCGTAACTAAAAAAAAAAATCCTAAACTTTATTAAACCAATCCACGACTTTAATGACTTGTTTTTCTGGTAATTGAAAAATCAAATCGCTTCTATTAACTCAGTCAACTATTAAGTTTTTGAATAATTTTGTAACAGTTCAACTATCGAGGAAGACTTTCGGCATAATTATCTACCAAATTACAGAAATTTAGAAAGTTTTTAATTGAAATTTTTAATCAGGAACATATCAATAAAGTCCAAAGGAAGACCATACATACAGCGTACAATAAAAGCGTTTGTACCTACTTTTTTACTACTTCGTAATTATCAATGATAAAATGAGAAGCTGGTGGAATTAAACTGAAAAGTTTGTGATAAAACATATTTATTATGTATAAAATGATTAATATAACTTAAACGACAAATGATCTAAGATGGTTATGTTAATAACAAATAAACATTTAAGAACTATATGAATTGTATTTTATTTATAATACTTATTTAATTTACAAAAAGGAACAGTAATTATTTGCTATAAAAACATACATCAAAGTAAAGAACAAACGAGTCTTACTCTCTTCAAAACTATTGATCACTCGCACCAATACGTTGCTATGTTGTACAAATGGCATTATTTAATGTATACAACTTTATACATGGCTTTATAACTACAGCGAGTTCGGAAAAAAGTCTTGATACACTTTTTTTGATCCAGCCCCTATTCTTCGAAAAGGAACTTCGTTTAAAAAAAAAAAAAAAGCACGAAGACAAGTAGAATAGACAAGTTTATACAGCAAAACAATACTAATGCAGACGTCCATGCATCGAGTTCGCTCCAACTTGGTCGTAACACTCCAAGTGACACCAGAAGTATTTTTTCAGTGTCTTTAAAAAAAAAGTATTCTCCTAAAAAATTTCCATCAAGCAACTTCATTCGTGCCTACAACATACAGATATTTAAAACGTATTTACAGTGCATAATCTCTGGGTAGTATAATCACAAGATCTTCTTGTTTATACTTTCACAGGATTTTACCAAACTTTGCTACGTTACACAGATTGTTTAACAGTTTGCGCTTTCTGCAAGTCAATCAGACTGTTCATTAATGATCATAAAATGGATACTGATTGTAACAATTATTGTAATAATATTTTACTGGGAGCTCTAACAACAACAGGAAATACATGAAAGTGAGCCTTTGAATTTAGATGAGGAAAAGGAAATCTAGGTGCTATGATATGTTTATAAATAAATTTAATAATTACTGTAAAAAGTAACCTATACACATGCATGTATAGATTATAAATATCTTGAAACTATATAAGTTATAACAATGTCGATTCCTCTTAATCATATACATTTACAAGTCATTAGGAGTACATATTTACTTGCTTAAAAAAAAAGTAAGACTTGTAATCAACGCAAGTTAAAAATAAGCGCCCCAATGTGGCGATATCCTACGCATATGATCCATTTGTTCGATGTATTCTTTAATTGATTTCAAGTAATCCTTCCACTGATGATATGTTTGAACTTTTTACGTTTGTAGCAAAGCCTCAAATAACGACAAATTGTGAGCGTAGCACAAGTGTCTCTCGAGGTCAGAGTATGTGGTACAAATTTGACGGCACAAACGGCATCGGAAGCAATGATGAATGGCCATGTGTGAAGAACGATGTATGCATAGACTAAAGGACTGCGAACATAGGGAACAGCGATAAAAATGATGAACGAGTTTGTGATGCCTGAGGTTGTCCGCATCCGGAAAAGTCTGTTCACATTCGTCACAAGGAAAGTGATGGTGGCTCCTCATGTGATTTCCAAGAAAAGTACTTTGGACGAATGTTTGGGGGCACATAGAGCAGCGATAGTTGTGTTCGGAGCCAATGTGTTTTATGAGGCTGATTTTGTTGGTAAAAGTTTGCGAACACTCGTCGCAGCAATATGTGCTGTGATGGATGTTTATGTGATGCATAAGACCGCAGCGATAGTTGTGTTCGGAGTCAATGCGTTTTATGAGGCTGCTTTTGTGGGCAAAAGATTGTGGACACTCGTCACTGTGAAATATGTTGTGCTGGACATTTATGTGCTGCATAAGAGCTTCGTTTTGGTTGGAATTAGATAATGAGAAATTGGTGCTTGCTGTTGTATGTATTTTCATGTGATTTTTGAGGTTTTCCATTCTGCAGAAGTATCGTGGACACAGTAAGCATTGAAAGGGTTTTTTGTTTGTGTGTTTCAGCGTGTGTTTTGTAAGATTATGTTTACAGCGAAATGATTGTGAGCAAATAGTACACTGAAAAGGTTTCTCGTCCATGTGGATGCGTCGGTGTCTTGTAAGATTTGATTTACCACTAAATGCTAGTGAACATATCAAGCACTTGAATGGCTTTTCACCAGTGTGGATGCGAGTGTGAACAGTAAGATCAGATTTTTTCCAAAACGCTTGTGAACATATCGAACACTTGAATGGCTTTTCGCCTGTGTGTACTCGCGTGTGACCTGCAAGATGATGTTTGTAGAGATCAGATTTTTTCCAAAACGCTTGTGAACATATCGAACACTTGAATGGCTTTTCGCCTGTGTGTACTCGCGTGTGACCTGCAAGATGATGTTTGTAGCGGAATGATTGTGAACATATTGAGCATTTAAATGGTTTCTCGCCTGTGTGGATGCGTGTGTGTCTTGTAAGATATGATTTATGACTAAATGCTAGTAAACACGTCGAGCATTTGAATGGCTTTTCTCTAGTGTGGATGCGTGTGTGTCTTGTAAAATTTGATTTATCACTAAATGCTAGTGAACATCTCGAGCACTTGAATGGCTTTTCTTTAGTGTGGATGCGTCGGTGTCTTGTAATATTTGATTTATCACTAAATTCTAGTGAACATATCGAGCATTTGAATGGTTTCTCGCCCGTGTGAATGCGTGTGTGTTTTGTAAGATATGATTTATGACTAAATGCTAGTGAACACGTCGAGCATTTGAATGGCTTTTCTTTAGTGTGGATGCGTGTGTGTCTTGTAAGATTTGATTTATTACTAAGTGCTAGTGAACATATCGAGCATTTGAATGGCTTTTCGCCTGTGTGTACTCGCATGTGACCTGCAAGATGATGTTTGAAGCGAAACGATTGTGAACATATCGAGCATTTGAATGGCTTTTCGCCCTTATGGATGCGTGTGTGTCTTGTAAGATTAGATTTTTTACTAAATTCTAGTGAACATATCGAACACTTAAATAGCTTTTCGCCTGTGTGTATTTGCGTGTGACCTGCAAGATGATGTTTGTAGCGAAATAATTGTGAACATATCGAGCATTTAAATGGTTTCTCGCCTGTGTGGATGCGTGTGTGTCTTGTAAGATATGATTTATGACTAAATGCTAGTAAACACGTCGAGCATTTGAATGGCTTTTCTCTAGTGTGGATGCGTGTGTGTCTTGTAAAATTTGATTTATCACTAAATGCTAGTGAACATCTCGAGCACTTGAATGGCTTTTCTTTAGTGTGGATGCGTCGGTGTCTTGTAATATTTGATTTATCACTAAATTCTAGTGAACATATCGAGCATTTGAATGGTTTCTCGCCCGTGTGAATGCGTGTGTGTTTTGTAAGATATGATTTATGACTAAATGCTAGTAAACACGTCGAGCATTTGAATGGCTTTTCTCTAGTGTGGATGCGTGTGTGTCTTGTAAAATTTGATTTATCACTAAATGCTAGTGAACATCTCGAGCACTTGAATGGCTTTTCTTTAGTGTGGATGCGTCGGTGTCTTGTAATATTTGATTTATCACTAAATTCTAGTGAACATATCGAGCATTTGAATGGTTTCTCGCCCGTGTGGATGCGTGTGTGTCTTGTAAGATATGATTTATGACTAAATGCTAGTGAACACGTCAAGCATTTGAATGGCTTTTCTTTACTGTGGATGTGCGTATGTCCTGTAAGATTTGATTTATCACTAAATGCTTGTGAACATACGGAGCACTTAAATGGCTTTTCGCCTGTGTGTACTCGCATGTGACCTGCAAGATGATGTTTGAAGCGAAACGATTGTGAACATATCGAGCATTTGAATGGCTTTTCGCCCTTATGGATGCGTGTGTGTCTTGTAAGATTAGATTTTTTACTAAATTCTAGTGAACATATCGAACACTTAAATAGCTTTTCGCCTGTGTGTATTTGCGTGTGACCTGCAAGATGATGTTTGTAGCGAAATAATTGTAAACATATCGAGCATTTAAATGGTTTCTCGCCCGTGTGGATGCGTGTGTGTGAAGTAAGATTCGATTTATGACTAAATGCTAGTGAACATATCGAGCATTTAAATGGTTTCTCGCCCGTGTGGATGCGTGTGTGTCTTGTAAGATATGATTTATATCTAAATGCTAGTGAACACGTCAAGCATTTGAATGGCTTTTCTGTAGTGTGGATGCGTGTGTGTCTTGTGAGATTTGATTTATCACTAAATGCTAATAAACATATCGAGCATTTGAATGGCTTTTCTCCAGTATGGGTACGCATGTGGATTACAAGATTGTTTCTTCGTCCAAATGTTTGTGAACACACTGGACACTGAATCGACTTTTCGTTTCGCTTTCCGTTCTTATGAGTTTGCACGTGTGATATCAATTGACTTAAACCCGTAAAACTTTCTTGGCATACATTGCAGCGATGCCATACTCTAGAGAAACTTGAAGATGTAGCCATATTATTTCGCGAACGACGTGACGCTGAAATCTTATGCCAACTGTGATTTTGTTGAATCTTGCGGCTGGTGCTGGTGTTTCGAAGATGTTGGTATTATGACACGATGAACTTTCAAAAACAACTAGAATAAACACAAATATTTTTCTAAGTAATTGTTACAATGAGGTGAAGAGTACACAATAATTTCTTGTATATTTTATTCACTCTCAAGTATGCTATATATCCTTGACAAAACGTAAAAAATTTTACGGCTTAGGAGACTGTTTGCATTGTTAATATTAAATCTAATTAATAATGTAACTATTGATTAGAAATTAAACTTATACGCTTAGATTTAAAGTGTACACATTAGGCATGCATAATTTAATTCAACTTTAAAACGTTTCTTCTCGTAGAAAATGTTCCAGAATTCATGAATCACCTAAAATTGAGAAACTTCATTTTCAAAATTTTTTGACTTCTACGTCAATCAAAAAATCAACAGTTAATTTTTTGTATAATCATATATTAAATTATATATTTTTTTGAAATAGCTTACGTTGTGATACTCCCTCTAATATAAAATCACCTTGGAAAAAAGTGTCATATTTACTGCTATGTAAAAGTATAGATGTTACCAAACAATCTTAACTATAACTTTTATCGTAAACTGTACGGTAATTTTTTTAATTAGAAAAATTTTTTTCAGCTACATTTATTTGCTTAAAAACTAGGGTACTTTTTTTGCTGCGGATTCTCCAATTTTGAAATGGTTTAAAAATAGAAATTACACTTTCCAACTACTGAGAGTAAATAAATACAAAAACTATATTATCAAATAAAAAAGTATCGTTCTGGGGAATGACGTAATCCTCAATTGATTCGTAAATAACAAAAAAATATAACTTTTTTTGTAGTTATTGTAAAGAAGTACCCTTTTTTGTTTTAAATTAAAAACTAACCTTCTTGTTTCTATAGATGTCGTATTGTCCACGTACTTTCGGCATGAGGTACCTGGACCATTAATTAATTCGTTATTTATTTTTTTCTATTTTATGTAAATTAAGTAGATTAACAATCACAAATAAAAGTAAAGTCCTTGTATGAATGTCTTAACTATTTGTTTAATACTACATAGTAAAAACTATGTAAGAATATTCTTCAAAGTAAGCTCCTCCAATTGAATTGAAAAACCGACAGCTAGCCTAAAAGACAAACGCACTGAATGTATAAAAAAAAAAAAAATGTTCCCTAAATCAGTTTCGCATATTTTTTGGAATGATATAAGTAGATACTGCAATTGATATTTAATTCGTGGGTAGCGATGTATAGCGTTTGATCGTTGCATCAGTTAGAGAAATAAAAAAATAATACTTGTGCTGTTTCGTCAAGACTTTAGTTACTGTAGATATAAATTTTGTGTTAATCGTAGTTTTTATCATATATCCGAAATTAAGTGTTGTTTAGTCATGCATCGACTGCCCAATATGAAATTAATAAAATGATAAACATATACGGTATTGCATATCCAAAAAAATATCCATAAAAAATTTCAATTTCGTGGTCCTAGAGGTCATTCAATTTTTTGTCAATGGGCTTGCAGTCTCATTACTTTTTTTCTATAAAAAGGTGTGTATTTGAGTATACTTATGTAAACGAAGTGAGTATCAATGGTACTATTTAAGGTTTTTTATTGCACAGTCTTCCAAAACCCTTCCGATGCGAGTATTAACTAAAGTCCAACATTGGGTGCAGTTTATCATAACTGATTTATACATTTCTTATAATTTTAAATCTGCATCGTAACTAAAAAAAAAATCCCAAACTTTATCAAACCGATCCACGACTTCAATGGCTTGTCTTTCTGGTAATAAAGTAATCTAATCGCTTCTGTTAACTTAGTTAATTATCAAGTTTTTGAATGATTTTGTAACAGTTCAACTATCGAGAAAGACTTTCGGCATAATTATCTACCAAATTACAGAAATTTAGAAAGTTTTTAATTGAAATTTTTAATCAGGAACATATCAATAAAGTTCAAAGGAAGACCATACATACAGCGTACTATAAAAGCGTTTGTACCTACTTTTTTACCACTTCGTAATTATCAATGATGAAATAAGAAGCTGGTGGAATTAAACCGAAAAGTTTGTGATAAAACATATTTATTATGTATAATATGAATAATATAACTTAAACGATAAATGATCTAAGATGGTTATGTTAATTGTGTGTATTTGCGTGTGACCTGCAAGATGATGTTTGTAGCGAAATAATTGTGAACATATCGAGCATTTAAATGGTTTCTCGCCCGTGTGGATGCGTGTGTGTGAAGTAAGATTTGATTTATGACTAAATGCTAGTGAACATATCGAGCATTTGAATGGCTTTTCTTTAGTGTGGATGCGTGTGTGTCTTGTAAGATTTGATTTATCACTAAATGCTAGTGAACATATCGAGCATTTGAATGGCTTTTCGCCTGTGTGTACTCGACATTTATTTGCTTAAAAACTAGGGTACTTTTTTTGCTGCGGATTCTCCAATTTTGAAATGGTTTAAAAATAGAAATTACACTTTCCAACTACTGAGAGTAAATAAATACAAAAACTATATTATCAAATAAAAAAGTATCGTTCTGGGGAATGACGTAATCCTCAATTGATTCGTAAATAACAAAAAAATATAACTTTTTTTGTAGTTATTGTAAAGAAGTACCCTTTTTTGTTTTAAATTAAAAACTAACCTTCTTGTTTCTATAGATGTCGTATTGTCCACGTACTTTCGGCATGAGGTACCTGGACCATTAATTAATTCGTTATTTATTTTTTTCTATTTTATGTAAATTAAGTAGATTAACAATCACAAATAAAAGTAAAGTCCTTGTATGAATGTCTTAACTATTTGTTTAATACTACATAGTAAAAACTATGTAAGAATATTCTTCAAAGTAAGCTCCTCCAATTGAATTGAAAAACCGACAGCTAGCCTAAAAGACAAATGCACTGAATGTATAAAAAAAAAAAAATGTTCCCTAAATCAGTTTCGCATATTTTTTGGAATGATATAAGTAGATACTGCAATTGATATTTAATTCGTGGGTAGCGATGTATAGCGTTTGATCGTTGCATCAGTTAGAGAAATAAAAAAATAATACTTGTGCTGTTTCGTCAANTATGATCCATTTGTTCGATGTATTCTTTAATTGATTTCAAGTAATCCTTCCACTGATGATATGTTTGAACTTTTTACGTTTGTAGCAAAGCCTCAAATAACGACAAATTGTGAGCGTAGCACAAGTGTCTCTCGAGGTCAGAGTATGTGGTACAAATTTGACGGCACAAACGGCATCGGAAGCAATGATGAATGGCCATGTGTGAAGAACGATGTATGCATAGACTAAAGGACTGCGAACATAGGGAACAGCGATAAAAATGATGAACGAGTTTGTGATGCCGGAGGTTGTCCGCATCCGGAAAAGTCTGTTCACATTCGTCACAAGGAAAGTGATGGTGGCTCCTCATGTGATTTCCAAGAAAAGTACTTTGGACGAATGTTTGGGGGCACATAGAGCAGCGATAGTTGTGTTCGGAGTCAATGCGTTTTATGAGGCTGCTTTTGTGGGCAAAAGATTGTGGACACTCGTCACTATGAAATATGTTGTGCTGGACATTTATGTGCTGCATAAGAACTTCGTTTTGGTTGGAATCAGATGGTGAGCAATTGGTGCTTTTTGTTGTTTGTATTTTCATGTGATTTTTAAGTTTTTCCATTCTACAGAAGTATCGTTGACACAGTAAGCATTGAAAGGGTTTTTTGTTTGTGGGTTTCAGCGTGTGTTTTGTAAGATTATGTTTACAGCGAAATGATTGTGAGCAAATAGTACACTGAAAAGGTTTCTCGTCCATGTGGATGCGTGTATGTCTTGTAAGATTCGATTTATCACTAAATGCTAGTGAACACGTCGAGCACTTGAATGGCTTTTCTCTAGTGTGGATGCGTCGGTGTCTTGTAATATTTGATTTATCACTAAATTCTTGTGAACATATTGAGCATTTAAATGGTTTCTCGCCCGTGTGGATGCGTGTGTGTCTTGTAAGATATGATTTATGACTAAATGCTTGTGAACACGTCGAGCATTTGAATGGCTTTTCTTTAATGTGGATGCGTGTGTGTCTTGTAAGATTTGATTTATCACTAAATGTTAGTAAACATATAGAGCACTCGAATGGCTTTTCTCTAGTGTGTACTCGCATGTGACCTGCAAGATGATGTTTGTAGCGAAACGATTGTGAACATATTGAGCATTTAAATGGCTTTTCTTCAGTGTGGATGCGTCGGTGTCTTGTAATATTTCATTTATCACTAAATGCTAGTGAACATATCGAGCATTTCAAAGGCTTTTCGCCTGTGTGTACTCGAATGTGACCTGCAAGATGATGTTTGTAGCGAAACGATTGTGAACATATCGAGCATTTAAATGGTTTCTCGCCCGTGTGGATGCGTGTGTGTAAAGTAAGATTTGCTTTATGACTAAATGCTAGTGAACATATTGAGCACTTGAATAGCTTTTTTCCAGTATGGGTACGCATGTGGATTACAAGATTGTTTTTTTGTCCAAATGTTTGTGAACACACCGGACACTGAATTGACTTTTCGTTTATCTTTTCGTTCTCATGAGTCTGAACGTGTGATATTAATTGACTAAAACCCGTAAATTTCTCTTGGCATACATTGCAGCGATGCCATTTTCTAGAGGAACTTGGAAATGTAGCCATATTATTTCATGATTGGTGTGACGCTGAAATCTTATGCCAACTGTGAATTTTTTGAATCTCGCGTTTGGTGCTAGTGTTTCGAAGATGTTGGTACTATGACACGATGAACTTTCAAAAAAATCTAAAATGAACACAAATATTTGCTGTTGTTACGATGTAATTGTTACGATGAGGTAAAGAGTACCCAACAATTCCTTTTATATTTCATTCACTCTCA